TGAAGGGTCTGGAAACTATGCCCTATGAGGAATGACTTAAGGAACTGGGTATGTTTAGCCTAAAGAAGAGACGGTTAAGAGGTGATATGGTAGCCCTGTTTAGGCATTTGAAGGGATGTCATATTGAGGAGGGAACAAGCTTGTTTTCTGCTGATCCAGAGAACAGGACCTGGAACAATGGATGCAAGCTCCAGGAAAAGAGATTCCACCTAAACATTAGGAAGAACTTCCTGACAATGAGAGCTGTTCGACAGTGGAACACTCTCCCTTGGAGAGTGGTGGAGTCTCCTTCTTTGGCAATCTTTAAACAGTCTTTAAGGCTGGATGGCCATCTGTTGGGGATGCTTTGATTTTGAGTTCCTGCATGGTAGGGGTTTGGACTGGATGTCCCTTGTGGTCTCTTCCAACTCTATGATTCTATGATTCTATGATTCTACTCTACAGGGTCATGGGGGGGGGGTACATTAACAAATGTAAAAAATCCCAAAAAAACTCACCACACCAAGATGATCAGGAACCACTGGCAGCCAGACTATGCAGTTTATCACACAGAAGGGATCCCATGCAAAAACAGGATGGGGCAGCGACACTGGGATTTAAAGTTTGAATTTGGAGACGGAGAGAGAGGGGAGTACAGAAGGATCTAAAGAAAGATGCGACAGAAAGAGGATAGGAGGACGGGACATAGACACTGAAATTTAAAACTTGAATTTGGTGGTGGAGAGAGAGTGGAAGACAGAAGGATAGAACTTCTGAAGAAAGGTGGGGGTGTTTATGAGAGCGAGGGAGAGAAAAAAATCATTTAAAACCAAGGGGGAGTGAGGAAGGGGAAATCAAGGAAAAGAAATCTTTGGAAGTGGTCTAAGGTTGGGCCAATATGAAGGGCTTTGGGGGGAAAATATCTGGCTACATGTGTTTAAATGATTGGGAATCTTACTTCGAAGATTGATTGAAACATACTGGGGAAAATTGAAATTGATTATTATTCTGATTTATAATATATCAATTATATTAATCAGTTAGATAGTTCTTTATTTGATTTATCCACCAATTTAATTTTTTTTATAATATAAAGTAGAAGTTGAGTTGGGATTATATGATTGTAATATTTCAAATTTAACTGAATGCTATATAAATTCCGGCAGGCCTTCCCAGCTTAGTTCCTCTCCCTGCACAAAGTGATCTGTGTCGCTCTGTCTACCAATTATCTTCTTTTTAAAACTTTTGCATTTTTGTTTTTAAATAATGTTTGTTTAATTGTAATTTTAGCATTGGGTTGGGGGGGTTGGGAAGGGATTAATTTTTTAATTCTATTGTATTCTATGTATTTTTATTGTTGTAACCCGCCTGGATTCTTTGTGATTGGGCGGGCTATAAATAAATAATTTATTATTATTATTATTATTATTATTATTATTATTATTATTAAGAAGGATAGTCTGAATTGATCTATATTTTGGTCTAGAATATATCAATCATTAGATTTAAGTGACTTGACTTTTAAGAGCCTGGTTAGTCGACTTATATCACCTTAAAGTTTATATTAGATTTAATTTAAAGGATGTAAAGAATGTATTAAGTAACTTATAAATAAGAATAAGAAGGACTCTAAGGATTTTGAGAAACTCTTAAGTAGATATTGGTGAATTTTGGGAATTTATTTTAGAATTTGAAAAGATGGCAACTGGAATTAAGAAACCAAACCCCATTTCTGGAACATCTCAACAGACACAACAGATAAAGCAACAGACTCTATGCAAATACTTTTAGAGGAATTTAAAAAAGTTAAATATGAGATGCATCTTGAAATGAAGGAGGAACTGAAACAGTCGAGAAAGGAAGCAAGAGAAGACTTACATAGAGAACTTGGAGAATTTGGGAAGAAACTTGATAAAATAACAAAAGAAGTGGAAGGATTAAGAACTGATGTAGAAGACCTTCAAGGGAGCAACTGGTGAATTAAAGATTACAACAACAGAACTGACAGAACAACAAAAATATGAAAGTTATATAAATCTGACACAAGAGGTCCGTTACAGGGAGAAATGTTTGAAGATAAGAGGTACCAGAAGCCCCAAACCAAGAATTATTTGAGATAATAATGACATCTATAGCAGATTTTATAGGAATATCAAAGCAAGATATTGTCAGGGATACGGACAAAATCTTCAGAATTAATTCAACAATCGCAAGAGAAAGAAATTTACCAAGAGACGTGGTGATCTCTTTTGTAAGATCGAGGACAAGAAATATGGTTCTACAAAAAAGCTATCAGGAAGATTTACTCATTGAAGGAAAAGTGGTTAAAATTTACAAAGATGTCCCAATCGAAGTTTTGAGGAAGAGACAGGAATATAAATTTTTGACACAAGAATTAATTAAAAGATGAATCAGATATGCAAGGGATAGGATTGAAGGTGTCTCCTTCATATACAAACAAAGGAGATACAGGATAAATACAATAATAAAAGCAAGAGATTTCTTAAATAGATTAAAATCGGATAAATCTGGCAAAGAGGAGGAGAAGGAATCTGCAGAAGAGACTAGGACAAAGGAGAAAATGGTAGAAGCTCTATAAGGTGAAGAAAGTCCTGATACAAAAGAGGAAGACTCGCAAGGAAATATAACAGATGAACTCTTTTCTGAAGAAGACAGAAGCATTCAAAAACATTCTGGAAAAGGGGAAGAAAACATATAACTATATAACTATTGGATTAATATAAATTTAAATAATCAGGAATATGGCAGTGAAAATATTATCTTGGAATATAAAAGGACTGAATTCTAAATTTAAAAGAAGTAAAACTTTTTATTACCTAGCTAAAAAAAAAGTAGAAATAATGTGCTTACAAGAAATTAAGATTAAAAAATCTGAAACAAATTACTTAAATAATCCAAAATTGGGACAAATGTTTATTACCGCTAACGATAAAAAGAAAGGTGGGGTAGTAATGTACATTCAAAATAAATACAAGGCTAAAGAAATATTTAAGGACAATGAGGGCCACTACACAGCGGTAGAAGTTCAAATTGAAGACTTAAAATTAATATTGATTGGAGTGTATAGCCTGGTGCAAAGGCAAATGGAATTTTACAAAAAATTAAATGAAGAGTTACAAAAAATAGACCTGGATTATGGAAAAGTGGTGATGTTGGGGGTCTGGAATGGTGTGATTGATGCAACAAAAAACAGAGCTTCAACAAATAAAATTAAAAAGAAACAAGGGAAACTTCCCACTTCCTTTTTTGATTTACAAGACTAGGGGCCTCGGCAGACGACTAATAAAGTCATCTCCGAGGCAAGGAAGAGGAGGGGCAGCCACGAGTGGTGCCCCTTCCTCCTCCCGAGGTTGCCCTCGGAGCTGCCGGCCCTCTGCACGGCCTGTGCTCCGGGGGCAACCTCCCGCTGCAGCGTCCTCACACGCTGTGGCGGAAAAGCCAGGGAAAGTGCACCCTACACGTTTAGGGTGCACTTTCCCTGACTTCTGAAAGGAGCGCTATTTTTGCGCTCCTTTCAGGGATGCCGTCGGTGCGCCGCGGTGCGGATGCCGCAGTCCCACAGCGCACCATCCCAGGGCATCCCGGACACCCTGGTCTGCATCCCCCCTAGATTAACTTAAAAGATGTTTGGAGGGGAATTTACCCAGATAAGGATGGATACGCCTTTTATTCAGAAAGCAATAAATCTTTACAACTGCAGCAAGGTTACTTATAACCCAGAAATGGAAAAATCAAGATTTACTAACTGTGGACAATTGGTTGATGAAACTCTTAGAGATGAAGGAGATGGACAAATTAACGGACTTATTAAATCAAAAAGATATGGATAAAGTGGATTATGATTGGTCACCAATGGAGGAATATGTGAAATTAAGGTGGTGTTAAGATAGCAAATCAGATGAGATATAGTCATACTGATTTATATAATTGAGAATAATAAGTAAGATTGAAGACGTGTTATTTTTCTCCTTTTTCTTTCTTTTTTTCATTATTCTTTTTTATTTTGAGAACAAGAGAGACAATTAGCTAAAAGATGTAAAGAAGGATTTTGATTTACATTACTTATAAAAAGTATTTAATGTCAATGAACTTATGGAAGTTTAATTACGGATGGTGATTTAAGATGACATAAGGTAGTGATTCAAATTTTATAAAGTATTTTATATATTATTGTAAATTGTTTAGTTGTAAATAAAATTATTTTTTTAAAAAGAAAGCTTACAAGATATATTTTGCGTATTTTTGCTAGCCTAATAAAGGCATTGTTGTTTTGTGGAAAAAAACAACAGACAAAATAAGATTTAAAACAGGAAAAACCTGCAAAAGCAGATTGATTTTCACATGATGTTGAGTATTAACCTGGACAGAAAGTGGAAAAAAATCTGTAAAAGCAGATTGATTTTCACACAACATCGAGGTTAATAAGCATTAACACGACATTAACACAGACAGAAAATTGACAAAATGCAATTCTTTTTACTTTCAGAAAATCCCGAAAGTAAAAAGAAATGTGTTTTGTCGACTTTCTGTCCGGGTTAATTGCTCATTAACCTTGATGTGTGTGAAAATCAACTTGCATTTGTAATTTTTTCCCCCAGGTTTTAAATCCTGTTTCTGCATGGGATTTGGGCACTTTGCCCTGGTGTGATAAAATCATTTTTTCCTCCGCAGAGTACTTGATCAGGTTATTTTCCTACCCAGGGCAGGGAGCTTTGGACATTGCCCTCTATGATCCCAATCCATCATGCCTGAAATTCTTAGGGCTGAAAAATGAGCCATTGTGTTAAGGAGCTGTTTTACAGTGCTCTCCTCGGCTTCTCATCTTAGTTCGCTCTCTCTTTTTTCCTTTTTTCTGCTGCTGCTTTTTCTGCCTGGTTGGTTTTCACCTCAGAGAACTCCTGGCCAGTACAGAAAATAGCACAGGACTAAATGGACCGATTATCTGACTGAGTATAAGTGAGCTACATACACTTTACAGGAGTTCTTTCTGAGTAAATAATAGCATGGTGTAGTGGTTTGAGCATTAGACTATGACTCTGGAGACCAGGGTTCGAATCCCAGCTGGGTTATGTAAACCCACTGGGCGACCTTGGGCATTCTCTCTGCCCAAAATGATGGCAATGGCAAATCCCCTCTGAAGAAACCTGCCAAGAAAACTCTGTGATAGGGTCACCTTAGGGTCTCCATAAGTCAGTAATGACTTGAAGGCACATAACAACAACAATAAACTATAGAACAATCTTGCCCATGGGACCAGACATTGCTGTGTAGAACAGGATTCCCACAACTCATGTTAGAAGGACCAATTGTAATGGAAGTTTTAAGAGAATTACACTGCCTACGTCACAGCATGAAAAAAACAAACCCTGGTGCTGTACTTTCTCACTACTTTAGTTTTAGGCAGCTTAGTTCAACTTCATATCTCATTGATACCACTTCCTGAGAAGATTCATCATCCTCTGGCAAGACATTTCTCCTTATCTTGTACATTAAAAGGTAAGTTAATTGGAGAGCTAAGGCATTCTGTATTTTCAGATTGGATATAATAAAAACTAGATGAATATTTTTGGTAGTGAATCATTCAATTCTGTAAAAGATTTAAAATTATATACATTGCTGCATATAGGGACTGCAAAATTAAACTTTGTGTAAGATGTTTTATGGAGCAAAGAAGCTTCTTCACAGATCCTTGCAAAAATCAAAAATCAAAATCAAAAGCATCCTATATGTGTCTGCTCAGAAGTTGGTCCCAATACAGAGATTATAAACTGGTTAGTGGGCAAAGTTGGTAGTATTGATGGATAATCAAGCTGAAATCTGAATCAATCTTTATTTTATTTTATTCTTTTCAGCATATATACCCTAATCCTTTCCATGTATATCAGAAGTAGGTCCTGTCTTATTTAGTGGGGCTCATTCCCTGGAGACCACGCACACCATTGCAAACAATCTTTGTCTTCAGCATTGTGGTTCCAGTCTCATGCACCCACTACCACCTGCAGGATTTGATTTTCAGCACTCTTTATCAAAAATTGATTTCTAGCTTCCCCAAAGCAGTATTTCCCAACATTTGCTGAAAACTCAATATTTAATATGGTAATAGATAAGATGTAATATTTTCTCCACAAGGAGGGACACTGAATTTTCTGTGC